CCCCAAAACCCCAAAACCCCAAAACCCCAAAACCCCGTAACGTAGCATAAATATTGATAGATCATTATAAGATAATTCAGCAATGGAGTGGTATTGGATACTCATAATAGTTATTATCTCTCTATACATAATCTTAGCAGCAACTTTGTTCTGCTTCCCTCCTTGGAGGAAGGAAAATCCTATCATAATAGACCTTGATGAGAACAAGGTCCTCCTCGGGAGTCATCGTGCAGGTTCAAAGGAAAGATTTGAGAGCACCATTCCTGCTTTCAGAAATTCGTTAGGTCAAGCAATGTAAGTATTGTTCATTTTTACAACATTTTAGGAACTTTATTGAATTAGACGTGCACACTACGAAGGATGGCAAGATCGTGGTCTTCCATGATCCAACTGTTTACAGAATGACAGGCCTTGACCGTACCATTGAAGAACTTAATTACGATGAGATTCCGCCCATAATGGACAGGGTGAAATTCCCTTTTGGAGACGGATTTTATGAGAAGCAAGAAGGGATTGACGAACCAAGAGTCCCTCTTCTTCGAGAAATATTTGAGCTGTTCCCTGGTGTACCTATGAACATTGATCTAAAGAGAGGAAGTCCTGAGCAAGCTCAAGAAGTTTATAATATGATTTTGGAATTCAAAAGAGAAGATATTACCTACATTGGTGATACATTTGAGAAGGAGAATAAAATTGTGAATAAGATCATCAAAGGAACTAGAGTACGATCATTTGCATCTGTGCAGTATACAATTCGGACAGTCTTGCTCTACTTCCTTGGTATCTTACAATTCTTCCCTTTTAAGTATCATTCCTTCTGGTGGCCATATATCCCACCACCAGTAAAATGGATGAAGCATGAAAATAAGAAGTTAAGTTGAAAATATAGTTGAATATTAAAAATATTTCAGTGCTGAACTTGGTTAATGAAACCGATGTTTTGGCACTTGAAAAGAAAAGGAGTCCTTGTGATCTTTTGGGGGATTGACACACAACAGGAGTTCCGTCAGGCTCTAAAATACCCTATTCACGGTGTCCTCACAGATTGTCCAAGCGAGATGAGGAAAGCAATGGATTCTATTACTGAGAAATACAAAACAACGCTTCCCTTACCCAAAAGAAAGGGTGTCTAAATTTTGTCCTTATTTTCTGATGGAGCTCACATTTTCAATTTATCTATTAATATCTGGGGTTTTGGGGTTTTGGGGTTTTGGGGTTTTGGGGTTTTGGGGTTTTGGGG